TGGAAGTGCGATCTTTGTTGTTACTGTAAATGCATACATTTCACTCATTTGGATTAGTTATTTAATTAATGGATTTTGTTGATACAAGCTAGAAATCTTTCTTATGTATGTGTTTTGTTTTTTTAACCTACAGCTCGCCCTGTGGGATCCAGTTCACGGCTTGAATGGCACATTGACCGACAAGAAACTGGAGAACAATATGAAGGGTGTGGTGCTTCGTATTGTGACTCTCTTGGTGAGTCAAGTGAACTAGTATGAGCTGGTGTGCATGTGTGTAAAAACAAATCCCTTTTTTTTTTTTTTTTCAAAAAAAGGCTCTATGGAAGCACTGAATATTTTCTCATGTAATGACTTCTCAAAGTATAAATCAGACCAAAGATTAAAAAAAAAAAGATTCTAGTGTAGTGTAAATAGATACCCGAGGTTGGCACTAGATCATGCTCAATATTTATTTCTGGAAAATACAATATATTTCGCCAGAACTTTCACAGCACCACACCATCAGGGTCCTGCACATTCAGAAGTGGTTTCTAAAATGGGTTTCTCTTTAACTTGAAATAGATCGGGTGGTTTCTCTGTATTTTATAATCACTTCTAGATGATTACAGCCTGAAGCTAACTTGTTCCTATAATCTTTGACATATGATTCTCTCGAAAGATTAGGAAGATTTTGGTTAATGCTGCTGTTACATCCTGTTTAAATACCAAAACAGATGTCTGAAAATGTTCCCAGAATGTTATCATATTTGTAAAATGATTTGGCCCCTCTGCACGATGTGCGAGCAATTAACATTACAAAAAGGCTGGATATACAAGACGCTCTAGTCCGGTACAGACGGTGGTGGAACGGTGATTAAAAAAAAAGAGAAAACAAAACAAAAATCAGAGAGGAAAAAAGAAAATAACCAAGGGAATATGAGTGACCCTCGAGAAGAAGGAGGAGAGACAAAAAAGATGGTAGAGAAAGTAAAAGTTAGCAGCAGCGTTACTGATAAACATACAATATAGGGAGAAGTGGCAGTTTGCTGGATGGCTGAGACTTAGTGTTAACTAGACACTGAAAATCCTCTGCAACTTTTGTTTTTCCAACTTCTTAACCTTATTTTCTGACCTTGAATCTGGGACATTTCGGCTATGACATTGTTCCGATCTGCCAGCCCCACGCAATTCAGCCCATTGGGAATTCATTCTATATTGATGCCACAAAGCCATGAATGCTTGTGTTAGTGCACTAGAATGACTGTAGCTTATCAATAAACTCATTTTGTGTACGATAATTTACAGTAGAATACGATGATACGATGTACCTTCATTTTCCACTTGGCAACACCGTTTGTACCAAACCTTCAGAATATATCGCCGATATTTCCTCAATTTACCTTCCAGTGGACTCACCACCCGCAGGAAGGTTCAGGGGGGTTGGTACAGTGCAATGTGATTTGGGTGGCGACTGCTACCCCCGCGACCCGGTAACGGATAAGCGGATGAAAATGGATGGATGGATGGATTTCCTCAATTTTCCTCATAACAGCGGTCTTTGGAAATGGTTAATAACTAATAGTTATGTTCAGACATCGTATGAAGCAGGTTGGACCCAAATGCAGCACTAGGGAGACTCTTTTCAGGTGCAGCAGGTGATTTATTTACAGGTGAGCAACAACAATAACGCACAGGAATGTAGCATCGATTGCAGGCAGGTTCTTCAAACAACAATGTCCCTTTGGAATAAAACAGCAAACACAGGCAGGCTCTTCCCCAAACATCATGAACGTGGAATTCTCTTCTTACAGAACAGAACAGAACCTGAACAGAAACACTCACAACAGCTACAGCCTTAACTCAAACAACAATTCCACAAAGACAACGTCAGGAAGGGAGGTATATATACCCAGGGCACCAGGTGACATGAGTGAGACTAATGACGAATACGACAGGTGAGTGTGATGAAACTGATTGCACCACAGAGCAGACAGCAGGACCAGGGAACAAACAGACCTCACAAATACTGTAGATGTTTCCTGTTTATGCAATTTTAGTGTAATAGTTTTGCAAAGTTTTGTCAGATTTAAACCTTGTGAAGAAGACAGGGATTGGACATTTACAATACAAAGTAGAGAAACAACAGAGCAGTTGTCATTACATTAATTTCATTATTTGTTTATTTTTTATTTGACAGCTTGAGGATTGAGGTCTTTAGAATTTTGCAGCTAATAAGATTCCAGCACGGTCCATCTCACCTGCAGCGTTGATTTTACAACTTCCCAGGAGTGTTTTAAAATTCACTGCTTTAAATTCTTTATAGGGCATCTTTGAAGTGAGGAGCAGAAAGGAAAGCGATAAAGCCAGACATCTTTGAAGCTATCCCTTTGTCTCTCTCCATTTTTGCCCAGTCTTTAATTTGTATCGTCCTCAAAAGAAAAGAAAAAAAAAAGTTTTTGAATTGTGCTCTTTGCCAACCGCTCGTGAAAGTTGGCCCCTGAAGGTTTACTGTAAATGTTTTGTTGCTTTTGCTGGTGTGGGCCCGGCATGTGTGTTTTTGTGTGTTTACTTAGATGACTGATGCTTGGTGTGGGCCTAAAGACAGAAATAGATAGAAATAGTGTGAAGCTTCCCGGGTGCTGTTTGACTTCTAATGTCAGGAAGGTTTGTGGGTGTCTATAGTATACTTATTTCTCAAGGGACCTTTTGAACACAGTGTTCCAGGTTCCCCTGCGTGTTCTTCCACTGATGTAACTGTTGTCTGCAAAGTACAATCCTCTCATACACACCACTGTCATCTGCAGAGATTCTTACTCTGAAACATATGGAAAGTAGATACACAGGCTCACCAAAATGTGCAACAAGCAGGCAAATTGAGAGAGGGGGGGAATTATTAATTAATAAATGTATGATCATTGTGTGATCCATGTGTTAAATGTACACCTTTACAATAGGTGATGATAAGTATTGTATATAGAAAAAAAAATTGAAGTTAGAAAATGTGAATAATTGAAGTAGTAACAATTGAAAAGAGTAATAAAAAAGTAGTGAATGTATATTTATTTAGTAGTCTTCTTGCTCTTAATAGGCAGTTGTAGTGATGTGTCGTTCGCGAGTGATTCGTTCAAAATGAACGAATCTTTCATATGACTCGTGACTCCCGAGTCATATGAAAGATTCGTGACTCGTGACTACCGAGTCATATTAAATATGTATTCATATTGAACTCACGAATCACTCACTGTGAACAAATCACTCTCTGCAAACTAATCTTTCACTGTGAACTAATCTATCATTGCAAACGAATCACTCGCTATGAACTAATCTTTCACTGTGAACTAATCTATCATTGCAAACGAATCACTCGCTATGAACTAATCTTTCACTGTGAACTAATCTATCATTGCAAACGAATCACTCGCTATGAACTAATCTTTCACTGTGAACTAATCTTTCATTGCAAACGAATCACTGTGAACTAATCTTTCCCCGTGAACTAATCTTTTGCTGTGAACGAATCATTCTCTGTGAACTAATTTTTTGCCGTGAACTAATCTTTTGCTGTGAACTAATCTTTTGCTGTGAACTAATCACTATGAACGGATCATTCTCTGTGAACTAATCTCTCGCTTAGTTCTGGCAGATTCGTTTCATTTGTCACGTGAAAGAGCGAAGCAAACCATGTTGCCTTCAGTATTTAGTGTCGGAGAACCGCAGCCTTCTTTACAACGCCCACAATAGGGCTAAAGCGCCACCTGCTGTAAAACGAATGAAATGATTAGTTCATGATTCGTTCACGACTCGTTCAGTTTACTGTTCGAGAGTCAAAGATTCGAATCAATAAAAAGAGTCGGTCTTCCCATTACTAGGCAGCTGCATTCACCTTTTAGCTAAATGACAGGTCAATGTAGTTTTCCACATTTATGTATCTAGGTCTGTTCCAATTTGGTTTTCTCCTAACATCCTCCTTTATTTTATCATTTTCCAATTTGGACTCTGGTCTTCAATTCATCAAACAAATTTTCTATGAAACTGAGTCAGGAATGTCTGAGTATATCTTTGGTTGTAGTTGGTAAAAATTAAAAAAAAATGTTGACACACACACACAGAGGCTCCATACTCTCTGAACAAGGGGGTTCAAGTATCGTCTGATGTTAAGCATTTTCAGCTACAGGTGGTCTTCAGCATAACAGTAGAAGTTAAAGGTGATTTTCAAGATGTGTAGTTTCTAATGATCCAGGTGTAATCCCAATGTAAAAATTCTCTACTATTGATAAAACACTAAAAGAAAGTTCAGGTCTTTAACTGTGTTTTACCTGAAGAATGAATGTGACATTCTCAATGGATTCAAACAAAGACTTTGTCTATTAGTACCCATAAAATCTTTATTCTATGGCAGGTGTGTGCAAACTCTTTGACTAGCGAACCACAGTTGTCCTAAAATTGAACAGTGGGCCAGGTCAGGAGCAGAAAGATGGAGCATTTGTGTGAACTAAGATAAATGACAAAATGCTTTTATCATTTTCTTTGCCTTCTATTGGGGAAACTTGGGTATTGCAGGGAAAAGGCAGAGGTATAATGATAATATAAATAACTTGGTGGGCAGGATTAAACATCTGAACGGGCCATATCCGGCCCCGGGCCTTAGTTTACCCATGCCCATTCTATGATATTTTGATATAAAATATAACTGCATACAGATGCTTTATAAAGCTTGTATGTGCATTCACATGACTGTGAAAATAATTGGCTCTCCATCTGAGAGTGGCTACTGATGTTGATTAATGATGTAGACATATTAAGGTGAGTCAAATCATTAAAATTCAGCAGTTATAATAACCTTGTAAAAGTTACAGTAATTTACCACAGTCAGTCCCAATTACTATTTTGTAGAGTTTTGGAGTGTAAAATATGCACAACTTAATTTGAGACATGGGTTAAAACTTGATTTACTCACCGTGTAAGACAAACTGCCTACAAATCACCACTCAGTAACGTGCATATGCTCCTAATTTAGTGAGCTACATGTAAGCAGCTGAGGTTTTGAAAATAAACAATAAAAAATCTGGCATCCTCTGGTTTTTTTTTTTTTTTTTTTTAGAGTGACTCCCACCTTTGCCTGGTTATGCTACATTCATAAGTAACAAGCTGTAAGAATTGAAAGATTCTTGCTGTGTGAGGTGTCTTCAGGCAAGGAGTGGAAGCAGCCGGTAGATGGTCGATTTGTTTTAATAACAAACATCAAACAAAACAGGT